AACTACAAATCCATCTCTAAAAATATTCTACAAGGATCAAATAACTTTGTGAATAAAGATCTGATCAATAAACTGACGTTATGACCTTGCTAGTGTGATATATTTTTTTATAGTAAATCATTTAGTTAATTTAGTGTGAAAATATTTTTTTATACTGTTTATTTTTGTTTTTAACAGTAATATTCGTTGAAAAACTAAATAGATCATATGAATAATACATTTATCAAAGAATGCATTGATATCCTTAATTAGTATATTTAAACATTATCTTTATTTCTGTTGTCTGAAACTTAAAAAAAATTGTTTTTGATAGTAATCAGAGCCTTGCTTTTTTTCAAATGCTCATAAAATCAAAGAAAGTAAATTATATTATTCTATGAGACGATTTTTTCGTTCTATTTCATCATATTCATATATTAAAAGTTAAATTTAAATGAAAAGTAAGTAATGTAGTTTTATGTTGAAAATTTTAATTTTATGGAAATTTTCGATCTTTATTCGATCATTATCAACCTCTTAACACAACCTGATGATACAAACAGAAAAGATTTTTACACGAAAAAACATATGAAAAAGATGAAAAGATCATATAATAATAAATATAAATTATAAATTATCTTATATGTAGTCATCACTTAAACATAAACATCATAATCGTAACCATGAATGTTCTTAAAAAACATTCCCGAAATAAATATACTCAATTTGTTTAATACTACTATGTATCACTAATGTATGAAAATGATAATAATCCTGAGATTTAAATTAACATCAGATATAGGGTTGTGTTAAAAGGTTGATAATGATCGAATAAAGATCGAAAATTTCCATAAAATTAAAATTTTCAACATAAAACTACATTACTTACTTTTCATTTAAATTGATTAAAATCTCAAAATTATTCATATTCATAAAGTTAAATTATTGTATATATACGATCATCATGTGTAACCTATGACCTCCTTTACTGAGAACAGATAAAAACTAAAATAATAATATTTTTATCAATTTAATATATTCAGAAATGCTTAAATCGATATAACTAAATAATTAAAACATTAATTTATTGGATTAAAATGCTCATAAAAACCTTTGTGTTTTTTGTTATATATTAACTATATCAAACAAATATGATGAAGCAAAACAAACATATCTTATACTTTCTTAAGTTTGCAACGTATGCACATGTATGTCTCAGTTTGAAAAGAAAAGAAAAAGAACTGAAACATTTTTTCTTTTCTTCATAATAAAAAAGAACGATAAGTAGACAACTATTTGAAAAAGAATTAAATGTTCAAGCAAAGAACAATACTACACAAACAACTTTAAAAAATAGATGTTTTCGATTGTGTGACAAAACTCTATCTATTAGAATTAAATCAAATCGAACAGTTTTTTACTTGCAAGTTCAGAATATATTATCTACACTGAATATTGATCAAATATAATATGAAACATTCACTCGTATAGAAAATAAATACGATCCTGGAGAATGACGTATCTTTTTTTGTAATCTAAAGAGTTCATTATCTATTATCAGCTGCACCGTCAGCTGTAAAACAGTTGTTAGAGAAAAGTGATGCTAAACTTTTGTTTCGGCTCTTTGTTTTCATTATCTCGAAATTCGAAAAAGTCAAAATCGTGTTTTTGCGACGCTTCCTGCAAACGAATGGTAGCAGTTCGATTTCAGTAATTACAACTTGCGTTTAAATGGGAATTTTCCGATATTTCATTCCTGAGATAATTGTAACACAAAATGACAACTTTGAATGCGTACGTCGAGAAAGTAAGAAAGATAGAAAGCAAGAAAATTCACGAAGGACTAGATAAATGCTTTGCTTCGCATCGCATTAATAATAGTACAATTACGCAAAATATTCATTTAATATCCTTTGCGTTATCAGATAAATTATAGCAGATAACTAAATTTGTTCCGATGTAATTACAATTTAAAATTTGATGATGAAGATAATTCAGTCCAGATAAATCAGCTTTAATATCATACGATTATATTAATTAATATTTATAATGACGAGTATTCATTTGGCGCTAAGAGCGATTCAGTTATCATAAATAAATAATCTAGTCAATGGCCGAATTAACCATGAATCAACATAATACTGAAATACTCTTTACAACAGATGCTATTAATAAGAAAAATAAAATAAAAGACCATCGAATTTATTCGGAATCATTTCTTACCAAAGTATCACAATGTATTAAGATTGCTAATACTATTCATACTGATGTAAGGTCTTACATTAATTTCATTGTATACAATCTTATTTATATCTGTTGTAGTATGGTATTGATATTTTAGAAACGAATGGTAGTTTTGAAATAACAGATAAAGTTATTGATCATCTTGATTATTTATCATCGATATATTTTCCAAACAATAAGAATAATAATGCTGATACTTTTTCAAATTCATCTGAACAACATGATAAATATCTACAATCAACAACGAGTGACAAGAATGAAATGATGATAACAAAAAGTCATATTATACCAATTAAATTACCACCATTAATTGAAATGCAACTTAGAAATAATCGACTTCTGCGAGAAGCTATCAATGACTATAGACGTCATGAACGATGCAGGAATTTACTGAAAAATAAAAAATCAACTTCAATTAATTCAGAAACTAACAAAGAAGAAGAAGACGAACAGATTTTGATGATCGAAGCAGAATCGCTATGCCCTATAGAATCAAATACTACTCACGATTCGCTTCCATCAGCAAATCTTATACAGTTAATGAAACAAAGCCATAATCAATGTAAAAATAAAATTAATAAAGTATGTATATTTACGAAAAAAGAGAAGATTTTTATCATTATTACCTCAAATAGAAAAAAAATAGATTAATTAATAATATCAAAACTATCCTAAACTATATCATAAATGAAGAAATTATATATGAATATACGCAAAATGAGATACAATCAAATCATAAATCAAAATCAATAAGAAAAATTCCAAAGAATAAAAATCAAATAATTCAACTATTACCCTATGAAAATACATACGGACAATTCTATTATCCCTACCAATTTCCATCAATCGAACCAACAATGATTGAAAAAATTATTAATGGTGTACAATCTATGGCATCAACATTAACAAATACAGTAAACAAATATCGAATAAATTCTATCTCGTTTCATAACATTTTCTTACAATAGAAAGATGCTGAAGATGTTTTAAATAGTATAGTCTTATTAGCTGATCATTCTTCTTCATCATTTACTAATAAAATAGCAGATGAAGTCATGAAAACAATACAAAGTATAATATAACACATGTTTTCAATCCAATTCTTTCTTCCGTTTAGAACGTTTTATAACACGTAAACAAGGTGATATAACACATCATGAAAGAATACATGTTCGTATGGCATTGGATTTAATCTTTGCTGATAATCGTTTAAATGGTATAACAACTATTTGTCGATCCGAATCTCTAATTTTATCTTGTATGCTTCGAAAAATTCTTAAATGTACACAAATAAGAATGTTATGTTCATACGCTGATGTCATAACTACACTTAATGAATCTGATTCTCATCAAATACATTTACGTACATTTAAACGAATATCTCTATCATCCGATGAATTCATTGAAATTATCGGTGAAATGTATAATACATCTTACGAAACAATTGAAACAATGAAATATTATTTAGAAGCAAATGATATTATTGATATGAATACGAATCTTATTCATTCATCAATAAGAATATCGAAACAAATCGATGAAATGATAAAATATATTTTCTATGAAGATGCTATTAGATTATTATTAAAATTAATTGTTGATCGAAAACATATGAATGATAATGATATAAATAATGAATATAAACAATTTAAATTAAATCTTCCAATAAAACTAAATGAATTATATCAATCAATTAAGAAATTAAATGCTTTTAGTAAGTAGAAACTCGGGATAGAAAAATAATATTGAAACATTGTCAAAAAAAAATAGTGTCTACATCTCAAGTACTGACAGCTATTCGAAGACCATATCTATCTCAACTTGCACAACGATCAAAAGTAAAACCAATTACTGTCAGTGATCTACGTGCAATAATTTCTCAAATATGGTTATTACCAGAAAATTTCGATACATTGATTACTGAGAATACGATTACATCAGAAGTATTATGCCGATTCTACACTGATTTTCATGAAAAAGAAGATATTAATGAACGATTTAATAAAGTAAATGAAAAACAAAAAAATCTCTTCGTTATTTTTTAATAAATTGTTGATAGATAAGTAAAAAAATTCATGATCATTTAAACTTACATAGTTGTATAACACGTGTTGCGTTTAAAATGGTTGCGGAACATTCAAATGGAACAAGTCTTACACCATATTTGGATGAATTTAATAGAATTCCTCGTTTTATATCAATATTTGATATATTCGATGATTTAATTAATTCGGGTCTTATATCTACAACCGAACTTATTGTTTATTCAAAACAAGATATTATTATCAAAAAATCTTCATTATTAAAACATTTTCAACGTATTTCATTTATTCGCAAACATGATGCTGATTTACTTGCTGAAATAACTTTAATTATACGTGAAGATATTTTAATTGATTACTTAACACAACGAGCTATGATAATGAAACAAGCTTATATTAATTGTATATTAAATAATACTGAACGTCAACATTTTATAACAAAAAATCGAATTAAATCAACAAATAGATTATCATCTCTATCAATTCATAGTAATTATTTACATAGAAAAATAAATAAGAAAAATATTTTCATTTTAGAATTTATTCGTTATTTTAATCTTGATCCAAATTGTGGTAAAATATTCTTTTGGATGGGTTTAACAGATGAAAATATCGTTAAAACATTAATTGAAACAAAAACTTTTGTTAATGAATATATGCTTGATGGAATTTACAATAATTTTCTCACAAGACTCCATGATACATTAGGTTAAAAAAAAAAGAGATTATTAAAGAGTGTGGGTGTGGGTGTGGTGGGTGTGGGTGTCGGTGTGGGTGTGGGTGTCGGTGTCGGTGTGGCTGTGGGTAGCGTTTTCTATTCATACCCATACCCACTCACCTACTCACCCACACACCCACACCCACTCACCTACTCACCCACTCATCCACTCACCCACACACCCACGCCCACTCATCCACTCACCCACACACCCACGCCCACTCACCCACATCCGCCCATATCCACCCACCCGCATCCACCCACCCATATCCACTCACGCACACCCACACCCACACCCACACCGACACCCTTACAATGATTTTCTTTTTTAATCATAGAATCTGGTATTTATAATATATCTGCAGAAAATTTATTAAATTTTGATCAACAAAACGAATATTTAATACCTATACAACGAGATTCTATTTGTATGGTATATAAAATCGATAGTAAAAAGTTGTATAAACTTGGTTGTTATTTAACGTATGAACAAGCATCTATTCTTGTTGATTTTGCTGATCCACAATATGAACATGAACTTTCAACTTTAATTACAATACATGATATTATTTCACAGGAAGATTTAAAAAGTTTATTAATATTAAATAATTATGAAATTAATCTTGATGAAATTTCCAAATTAATTCTTCATAAACAACAAGTGTGAGTTTATATAGAATAATTTTCATATAATCATATAAAAATATTCATTTAGAATTGAGTGTAAAATTCTTCTTGAATCATTTCATCAACGTATTAATTATCGTCAGAAACGTTTTAAACGTGTTAAAAACTTGCAAAAACTTCTTCTTGAATCATTATTATTCAATCAATTTATAGAAATGATTGCTAGTTTAGGTATAGAATATTTTACACGTACTGAACTTGATTATCTTGAAGAAATCAAACTTATTGATATTGGCATACTTGCACTTTTACTTACATTACCATCTTATAACTCTTTAATTCATCAACATAAATATGAATGGTTTCATGATCAACAATCATCATCATCTACACATCATAGAAATTATTTACATATTCTTGATCCAATCATTGAAAAATATTCCATATTTCTAACTACTATTATCATACGAATGATCTCAAATAAAGAACGTTTTTCAACAATAAATGAAATATTACTATTAAATCTTGATGATTATTTATCAACAGAAGAAGTTCTTAAAATTTGTGCTTATGAACAAATAATATCACATGACGATATTTTACATATTTGTCAAGAAACATTTCCAATCATTCCAACATCAAATACTAATGAACAATCTCAACCTAGTAGAAAATCATTATCTGTTAATGAAGGTAAATCATTAAAATTTTCAATTGATTTATTTTAATTTCAAAATTAGAAACAGATATTTCACTTTGGTCAATACCTGATTGTTATACTCGAAATATAACTATGTATTCTCATGATCCTATTCTTCAACAAAAATTAAATCAAACAATTCTATTAACTATATTTGATTATATACTTCATTTCAATCATCGAATTACAACCAATAAATATTTACGACAATTATTTAATGAATTTAAACCTTTAGCTTATTATAAAGCTCAATTAATAATTGAAAAAGAAATCACAGTTATTAAACTATTATTAAAAACACGTCAAAAACAAACAACATTAAATATGCATGATTTAAATAGATATCTTGAATTATATCCAATTCCATGTAGATTGTAAGTTATTCGAATTTATATTATAATAATAAAATTGATTTTTTTCGTTCAGAGATATTATTAATGAATTATGTCATATAAAAATTCTTTCACAATCTCTTGTTAATGATTATTTAATGAATCAATGTTATGAATTAAAAATAGCTACACCTGAAATTCAAACTATTTTTCTTTTCTATATGATGATCAAATTAATTCGACAAGAAGGTTATATTGATGAAATAAATTTAAAAAAAATTCTTAATCAATATACAAATGATACTATTGAGAAAAAATTAGATATAATTAATAAACAAATTTTACGAAATGGGCTTCTTACAATCGAACAAATAACTCATTCAGCAAATGATTTTTTTCTATATGATGTAAGTATTAGTCATTGGATGTTTTTACGATATCGAGAAAGTTTCATAGATAAGCAATGTTTTATCTAGCGGGTGGACGGTGGATGAACGCCGCCCACCCTAAAAAATACAGTGATTGTATATTTTGAGATGGTGCGGGTGGGTGATAGATGAACGCCGCCCACCCTAAATTTTGATTCCCCCATCCGAAAAACGAAACCTGAATAAAACACTGTAGGTAAAGAAATTTTAGTTATGAGTAACAGCTAAACTCTACTATGCTTATTGTGCGATCATCCTGAACAGATTTCAAGTTTTATATTTTTTGGGGTTAGTTAAATTTTATTTAGTATTTCAATGAAGATACACTTAAAAATCAATCGAATGAATATAAAACTGTCATTCAAGAGCAAATCTTAAGTAATATTCTTCATCAAGAACGATTAACAAGTACTCAGTTCGAATTAGTTCTTAATCAAAATATACGCCGACGCCAAGTTATTCAAACGAATATATTAAGTGATCAATTAAAACATATTAAAATAGTTAAAGAAAAAGTTCAACGTAAAGTCGATCATGTTCTTTCAAAAATGGATGATAATACACATATTTATTCTAAAATGAAACAAATTTCGTCTCGTTTAACATCCAATAATCTTACTAAACATGATCTATCTCTTGCAAATGAACAGCAAATATCAACAATCGATAAAAATGTAACATTACCAGATTTACGATCATTACGTCATAATTATATTCAAGCAAAAATACCAAGAAATCAATTACATCTATTAGTTGAACAAGGTGGTTGGACTAATGATATTTATCTTGAATTTAAACGTGAACTTGATATTATTGATTCTGATAATTCATTAGATCTTATTCGATATATAACAAAAAATATCTCGTTATTAATTAAACAAAATGGTTCAATTACAGAAGAACCATTAATAAAATATTTTCAAGAACATCAAATTCTATTTCTTACAGATTTCGAATTATTACTTACTCGTTATGGTATGGTATCATTAGAAGATCTTATTGATTTATTAGTTGTTAGTAGATTAGCTAAAGCTGATGAAATAAAAGCTTATGCAAAAAATATATTCTGTCTTAATGTAAATATCGAAATTTTGTTTTTATACAAAAAAAAACAATCTCATTTAGATAAATAAATTCATTGAAATCTCAAAATCTCATGAAGATATGTTAGTCAAGAAACATCATGTTCAAAACAATTTAGAGAAGAGATTATGTATAACAACAACTGATCTTTCTCATCTACTTAATCATGTTCTTAAACTTGATCGTCTTAAAAGAATTCTTGACATGATACCAACTATTAAAAATTATCTACGTTTACATCCAATTAATACATTCAATGCAGTTAAAGCATTGAAACTTGAATGTAAATCTTCATGAATATGATATATTCATTTATGAATGTATATATTCTATTTATAGTTGATTTCAATCATTATGATATGAAATTTTTACGTGATTTAAAATTATTAAGTGATACATGGTATAAACGATATTTGTTATCACGAACAAGTGAAACGGATGCGAATATTTCAGAACTAATTAATGATGATGATCAAGAACAAGAAGATCGACGTGAATTTAAATTTCGTTCAAGTTTAGATGAAGATTTTGATTTTAATGAATTTATGGAAAATGAAGAATCACAATTAAATATCAATGAACAACGTAAACAAATTTATCTGTAAGATTAATAAATTTTTTTCGGTAAATTTTCTTTGCTTAAAAAACTTATTTTAGAGAACAAATTAAAAAACGAAAAGATCAAATCGATTTATATAAATCAAAAATATCTACTGATGATGATAATCTTCAATTAATTCTGAATCCAGATGATTTTCATAAACAAGATGAGAAAAAAGATCAACTACGTGTTATTGAACAAGTCTTTCTAAATGCTTCAACTCTCGAATCTCAACTTTTACTACCTTTTATTTCCGATGATCAAAAACGATTATTTATGCAACTGGATTTTGCTAAAGAAGAAAATATTGAAGATTATCATAGATTATATCATTCAGAAGACAAAGTAGACTCGAAGAAGATACTAAATGATACAATAAACAAAGAACCTGAACAACCCATATTATCTTTAGATGAGAAATCGTTTTCTAAAGAATCAGAAAAAGATATAGAAATTGAACAACAAAAATTTTATATTGACAATCAATCATCAGTAGATTTTGAGAGTAAACAATCTGTACAAAAACAATTGAAAGACACACAACAAATTAGTATACAACCATTATTTGAAATTAGAAAATCATCTGACTTATTGAATAATATACCAGAAGAACAAGACGAAGATGATAAAACAAAATTAGAGTCCGTAACCATTAAAAAAGATACTTTTGTTGAAAAAGAAGAAGAACAACCTTCTATTCTATTTGACGATGAAAAAGTTCCATTATCAATTGAAGATTTACACTCACAGCCAATGCCAACCGTATTATCGAATGCTACTGAAGATCTTAGTACTTCTCTTCATCAATTGTATGTGTATTTTTTTTCTTAAATAATATAATTATTATTCTTTTAAATATAGAATTCAACAAATGACAAATGATGAACAAATATCATTAAAAAGAAATCTCAAACTCAGTAAAAATCCTTTCTTTCTTTTGCTCTACTTTCTTCTTTATTTTAGTTCGTGACATTATCGAACATTGGCTTCAAACTACTTTACAATACGATACATTAATGAATCCAATCGATAATCCACATCAATCTATGAATGAAAATGAGTTTCATACAAATCAATTGATCACCTATTTTCATAATGAAATCGAACAATTTTCTAAACATATTTCTTCTAATTCTTTAAATTTTTCAAAACTAAAAACTATTTTTCAACAACGAATAAATCATATGGAAAATATTCTAAAAGAAATAAAAAATCATCAAGATATAATTCAACAAGTTGATAAACAAATCATTGAAATCGATCAAATGATTAATGAGACAAAATCAAAATTTGAAATCGAAAGTTTAAATAATAAATTTAATAAATATAAAGAAGATTTTATTGAATTGAAACAACAAGAAGATTTTCAAATTCAACCTATATTACGAACACAACTTGAATTAGCTATTCGTACAATTGATACTGATTTATACTTAATAGAACAAATACTCGAACAAAAAATCATAACCGATATTATTCCAATAACATCATTGATTACAACAGACATAGTGAAACAACCTATTCCATCGAAAACTTATGAAAATATTACAAACATTCGAGATAATTTATCAAAAATAGCATCGGATATTAAAGCATATGAAGCAACACTTGAGAAAGAACGAATAGTACACGATTTACTAGGAATAGATATGGTAAACTATTGAATTTATGTAATGTTTCGTGTATAATGATGATATTTTAGATTGAACGTCTTCAAGTCATTAAACAGGAATATTTAGAACAGAAAATGAATGAAGAAAAAAATCAAGATATAAAGATAAATATCGATAAACTTTTTGAATTTGATCAAGAACAAATAGAATTTATGGACCAGCTTAAAGAAATTCATGAACAATTAGATAAGCAATCAAATAAAATTCAACAAAATTTATTTAATATTAATACTGCTCGTGATAATTCAAATCATCCAAATTTTTCATTAGATATTAAATTGAAATATTTTCCAATTGATACCTGTGGAATTTTAATGAAACAATCATTATATCTTGTTGATGAACAAAACATGCCTCTATCAGATAAACTTCATCTCATTCGATTACCAAATGAATTCGATCGATTTCAGATATCCAATGATAATTACGAATTAATTATTATTGATAATAATAATATACCATTATCCGATCCTGTTACTTTTAAACAATTAACATCTGAATTAATTCAATTTGAATATACTAATAATGATCAACGTACTATTCAAATATCATCACATGATTCAATAAATAGATCCATTATGCTTAATGTAAAACCACTGTCTTTCGATAAATCTCCAACAAGTAAATTGCATTAGAAACACATCTTAACTGAGATTACGTCCAATGTCGGATTGAGAAAAAGAATGTTTTCAGTTTCTTACTGAATCGATGTCACATTCATATTCTAAGGGTTCTATTTTGATGAATCGATAATTTTCCATATTATACAAGCAGCACCTGATCAATTAAGCTCGAATTCGTAAAGTAACTGACAGCTTTATACACAAGACTAGATTCTATGAAAAACTACTCATAACTCTTCGTCTTAACTTTTCCATCGCTGATTGTAAAACCTGAAAAGCTATGATCTCCACGTAGTTTACCAACAAGAATTAGAATATGAAGTCGACCTTAAGACTAATCCAAGTTTTAAGTTAAATTTTTTCATCAATCCGACATTGGACGTAACCCCTGTTTGGACGCTGGCATATATACATGTTTCTAGGTTATGCCTTATTTGTTGTCGATAATAATGATTATCCACTTTCAAAACCAATTCAGCTAATAGAGCCCACTAATTCACTATTGAATATTTCTGAACTTAAACTTTCTACGTTTTTATACGATGAAAAAATGAACGAAAAAGTACTTTTAACACCTGAACAATATTTAATTAGTATACAACAGTCGGAATTTACATCAAGAAAATTCCTTACCTATATTGTTTCGAAAAATAATCAACTCTTATCTGAGCCTATTAATATCTCAGATATCGCAATTCAAAAAAAACATGCAATTGAAATTATACTCTCAAAAAAATTGACTATATTTGATAAAGAACGTCATAAATTATTTGATCATTTGAATTTAAATGAAACTAAAAATGAATTTTTAAAAATTATACTCAATGAATATGAACTCATGAATGGTTATGTACAAGATCGACTTGATAAATTAAAAATTGAAGAAAAAATCATTGAACAAATTGTACCTATTCTAGGTTGAATATCTCATTTGATATATATATTAATTTCATCTGTATTTCTTTCTTTTCATAGATGAACAATATAATAATATTTCAATAGATCAAATAGAATATAAACAAGAACAATCTAATATGGATAATCTTGTTAATACAATGAGATCAATTGTACAATTAGATGAAAAATTAACTGAATTACGAAAGACTAAAACTTTTGAAATATCAGATATTGAAAAACTTGAAAGTAATCTTATTCATCAATTAATTCAAGTTTCTAATCAACTTGATGATGTATCAATTATTAAACAAGTTGAAAATTTGACTAATCATTTTCAAAATACTCAACTTCTTACCGAACTACGACCTATTATTCTCTCTGGTAATTATGTATTTTCTATAATATAAATTTATTTTATCATTTATTATTAATTAGGTATTAAAAATCGTGCTAAAACAATTCAGAAAAAATGTGAAACATTATTAATAAATATTCATAAAAAATCTAATCAATTAAAACAACCAGAACAAATTCGATTTGAATATATTCAATATTTAACTAAACAATTAAATGAACAAATAGAATACGAAAATGATGTTGAACATTTTTATAACAAAATCGAACGAATGCAATACGAATTTTATCAAAAACTTGGTACGATCTATTCTAAAATGAATTAAATTCAGTCGTTCTATACACAAAACAAAAGGAGAGTCTTTATAACTGAATATGAACATAGTTAAATAGATAATCGACAAACTAAAGGATTAGACACATTTAGAGAGCTGGGGATCCGCGTTTTTTGGACCTGACCCAAAACGCACCCAGACCTGGAACCCGATCGAATCTGGGTTGACTCGCAGCTCCCTAGACACATTAAGAAATAAAATCATCTTCATATATATACGGCCTACTGTCTCTTTGCAAATCGGACATTCATCATTGACAAAATTTCAGGTGTTACTTAGCGTAGATACAGTGGCTTCTAGTCAACTATAATAACATAATGATAGTGGCGTATTTCCTATAAGTATGTTGGTGGGAGTGCACAGGAACCGATTTTTTGAAATCGGAATCGAACCAAAACCGCTCTTTTTTCATTTCTGCTGACCAGAGCCGGATCGGAACTGCGGCTCCGGTTCCGGGTGATTTTTGAAACTGCCGCACTCTAGTTAGTTGACGAAAATCCGGAAGCCCATATATACATTAGTGTAATTTGAGACTGAAAAATATACTTTATCAGTTTTATTTTCTTTTGATAGCTGATTCATTAGAAACAATAGAAATTGAAGATCTTGATAATGAAATAAAACACAAATACAATATAGAAAAGATTCAAATTCCGGATTATCTTGAAAGTAAAAATGAAAAATTAATTTATAAATTTAATCTTATTCTTCGATATCTTCATGATAAATTTAAAATGATTGAACAATATAAAAAAGATTTATTGAATGAAACGAAACGATTTCTTATTGAATCAATTGATAATGAATATTCCTATGTTCAACAAATATATTTTATTCAAAATGAAATTAAAATAAATAATAATAATAAATTATTAAAATATATTGAAAAATATAAAACTATATTAAATAAATTAGAAACAATCGATAATAAAAATTTAGAGTATGATTTTCTCTTATCAAAACTTGATCGTTTACATGAAATCATAACGAACAATTATCAAATTAAACTTCCTAATAATAATACAAATATTGAATCTATACGTAGCACATTAAATAATATAAGAAAAACGATTAAGAAAGAATTACAAGTATTCGATATAACAAGAAATGACTTATTACGAAAACTGAATGTACTCAATAAAAAAGAAGAATTGAAACAACGTACAAAAATAACTACAAACCAAGAAGTAAATATCATAATCATAGATACAAGCGATTCGTCTAGTCTTTCTCTATTCTAGGAATCTCAATTGAGTTCACTCAATGCATACATTCAACAATCAATAAATGAACCAATGAATATTCATCATGAATTTTATGCAATAAAAATTCAACAAATTACTAATGATTTAATGTCTATGTTTCATATACAACCTTTACCTCAAATGAATTTAGTTAGTAAAACATTGGATCATTTAGAAAGTTATATTGAAAATTTGGATAAACTAATGAATGACAATGAAAATAAATTAAAATATGTTGCGGAAGATCTACTTGCTACACGAAAATATTCAATGATTGACAGTCTTGTTCGAGAAGAATTTGAAGATTTAATAATGCAACAAAATAAATTAATACATTGTCAACAATCGATTATTAAAATGCGAACAATAGCAACTGAAGTATTTAATCATTTTCAATCATTAGGTATTTCTAATTCTGATAAAGCGAATAGTCAACAACAATTCAAAGAGTTTAAACAAAGAGGTTTGTATATTTATATCTTTATTTTCTTTAATCAACTCTACTATTTAGCTATGGAAACAATTATTCAATCTATTGAATATGAGAATTTATCTAAATGTGTATCACCTCATCTATTATTATTACATAAATTTACTTCTGGACAAGAATTAATACCCTCGATATCATCATCTTCTACTAATCTATTTCAATTAGAAACAAAAACACATGTTGATCAAGAATTATCATTTCAAACTTTTCTTCTTCAAAGTCAATCATCAGCTAGTTTTCAAAAAGATTCTATCGAACAATATGCTTCATTAGATTTAAAAACTCAAATATTACATATAGAAATTATGTACCTTCAGAAACAACATGCTGAAGCTATTGCTGTTGGTGATTTTAGTCAACAATTAGCAGCTGAACAAATTATTTCTACCAAACTTCAACTAATCAAACAATCTCAAATAGAAATTCAAGATTCTTCATCAATGACAAATCAACAATCAGTTAAATATAATAAATCAAAAACTTCAATAATATCAACAAGTATTAGTCGTAAATCTCTTCCAACAAATGAAACTGATGAACAAATACGTAAACTTTTAAAAAATCATATTAAAAGTTTACAAACGCGCATTGAAAATGATGAATCAAAACTTTCTTCTATTGAAGGTTTTCGTCAATTAAGTATGTTTTCTTCCGACAAGAAGAAATAATTTCTCTTTGAATTTAGATAAAGATTTGAAAAAATCTCGCCAAGAAAATAATCGTGAAAAACAAATTGATATACAACTACAAATTCTAAATAAAATTAATGAATCAATCAATCCAGAAATCTTGCAAAATCTTCGTCAACATCTTCTTGAAGAACAATCGTATGATAAATCTCATGTTTTACAATTACCATATTCAGCTGTAGTCGAACAAAGACAGAGTACAAGTATTTCAGAACCAACAAAACAACTTGTTACTGGTGAATTAATACCACAGATTGATTCAGTAGAACGAACAAAAACATCGTTTGTAACGACTGATTCGAAAGAATTATATCAAACATTACAAAAAATGAAATATTCTATTGAAATAGCTTTGGAAGGTACGCAACAAACGTCAAATATTGAAGATAGCAAATATTCATTAGTAAGTTTAAAACTTCATAAATAATTTAAATATTATTTAATATTTACAGTCAGTACCAAAACCAGTAAGAAGTGGCATATCAATCGAACATGATGAAGAACTTGCCAGAACAGATGATATTCATATTATTCGTATTCCGACTCAAAGTCAATTGCAATTGAATTCTACTGAAGGAACATACAGTTCATTAGTTTCTACAAATAATATTCTTGATTCAACAATTATCTCTCCTTTGAAAGAAATTGATATCATTACATCTGATCATAAAAAATTATCAGTAGTAGGAAATGCTAAAAAATATTCAATTCTACATAAAAAAGCTAATGATCGACAAATTGCTACTACAACGCAACGGTCTATTATTCAAACACAACGAGAATACGGAGAAGTTTATACTCGAAATCGAGTAGATTTTTTTTTCAATAATTTTTTTCCTATTAAACTAAATTTCTTCTTAATGAATTATAGTTTCCAACTAACACTTCTTCGGTATCAGATATAAATGAAGATCAAAATAATATTGAAGAAAAACTTTATAGTAAAATCAAAAGAAAATCACGTTTAGTAAAATATGAAAAGACAAAACAAGGTAATACTGTTATTCATCAGCAAGTGAATTTATCAACGCATACTCTTCTAATTCCACAACGAGTAATCTATGAAGAAAATCTTGAACCAGCACCACCATTGATTCATGTAAACGACACAACTAATTCTACATTTAATGTTGAACATCAAACTTCGAATGTCATCGAGAATGATCATCAAAATAAAAAATCTGATATTAAACTACCATTTCATTTCTCAAACATTCTCTCTCCTATTCAAGAAGAAATCGAAACAACAGATGATATACCACTTAGTCCTACAAATCAAGATCTATTAGCAGAAAAACATTCAACTGATACCAAAGATAGAATTACTGAATTTAGCACTTTTAGTGATGATAAAAAATCATCAGAAAAATTAAGTGCTACTCAAGATTTGTCTTCAGGCAAATTGAATGTATCAGATACTCATCAATCTATTCACGAAACACAACAACAACAAATCGATGAAAATAAACAAGTAATATTTTAGTTTATTATATAAAATTTGAAAAATCTCTCTTTTCCTCAGATCACTAATATTACATCGTCTGTTTCTTTGCCCAATAATTCTCAAATATTAAAAACTATTAAAAAGAAGAGTCATGAATCAACTTTACTTGAACAAATTAGAGACGAACAATTAATAACAAATGATGAATCACTCTCGACACAAGAATTTGATATTGAACAAGAAATTCTAATTACACCCGAAAATAAAGTTATTTATCACAAAGTTGGTGGTAAATTAAAACGTGGCAAGAAAAAGAAAACTAAACAAGCAAAAACTAGTCACAATAAAGTAAAAACGAAAGTTAAAAAAATTGATACAACATTACAATCTGAATCAATACGTTTACAACCACGAAAAGCAGTTCCATTGATTTCAGCTACTAAAAATGAACAGATTGATGTTGAAGAAGATATACCGATAAAATCTCGAAAGAAAAAACGAACACGTTCATGTAAATTTTATTTAGAATTAAATCTTTTCATTGTCAATTATACGTATTTTTCCTTCAGCTAAATCACGTCGTAAACGTACAAGATCAAAATCACGAAAGAGAAGAAAAAAGAAAAGCAAAACTCGAGCAAAAAATCAATTAAATCTAGAAGAAAAAATCGATAATACTCAAACTAATTCAAAACTAATAACAAATAAAGATGCTATTGCAATCCATTTACTTAATGTAAAAAGATTTACTGGTTCTCCATTATCTCCAATTTCTTATGATCAAACTCACCATGAATATGATAATATTATTGAAAAATCCCGAATAAAATTATTAAAACCAATGATTAAAAATTTTGAACTTGATCATAAATATACTAAAGAAGACGTTCATACTGTTGATGCATATGATCTTGATAAAGAATTATTTGATTTCAATACAGATACAAAAGATATTAATCAACCAGCAATGTTCACAGAATATATCCGTATGTTATGCAATCAATCAAGTCAAATAATATACTTAGATTTTTTTTTCATCTAGCTGAATTTTTTCAAAAACAAGCAGAAGAAAAACAAATTCGTCGTATTTCATTAACAGCTATTAAAACTGATGAACATCTTAGTAAACATCTTGCACCAAGAATATCTCGATTATATAATGGATGGCAACCAAGTGATACACGTAAGTAAGATTAATGGTATAAATAAAAGATTAGCATATAGAAGAATGATATCTTTATGACGTAAAAATTTGAATAGCTAAATAATAAATTCAAAGTGAAAGAGTAAAAAGTTATTACATCAACTCTGTTTTGATGTTTATGTTATAAGTATTAAGTAAATACTTGAATATCATATTATAAGAAGTTTCTTAATCTTCGCTCAAGATGAAGATATCTCAGCTTTCGGCTATAATTATTGATTTAGTATACTATCAAAAGAAGTTTCCATGTTTGTTTTCTACTACATGCAAACATTCCGAATGGACTCGTATTAATGTAAACATCTTCTGTTTCATAATGCTTTTCTTCTACATTTACTGATTATCTTCAGCAAAAATATTTTGTACAACAAGAAATTCGAGAAATAAATATCTATCATAATATAAACCCTCGACGATTACGAAATGACAGTAAAGCTCAAACATGATATTTTAATTGAACATGACAGATAATAAACTATAATTTACATTACAATATCTAATCTTTGTCTATTCTAATTAACTGAAAGTTATAATAATCTAAAAAAAACATATTATCTGATATATCAAAGTTCGTGTGTTATTTTTAACTAAAATATCACTCAATTCTATCGAATGTCTACGAATAATGTTAATATTTATTCTCAAATAACTTTAATTTCTTTTCGAATGAATTCTAGCTTGTGTACATACAGATGAATTTCGTCCATTAAATAAATATCTTATGTCTGATATATCGTATTATTTTGATGAAGATTTTATTGATGAATCAGGTCTATTTCAAAATCAAAAGAATTTCGATAAGTATGTATCATATTTATTCTAATTATGAAATAATTCGATTTTTATAGACTACAACCTCGAATAAAACAACCAACTCAACGTTTTCGTGATGATTATATTGTTAAAGAATTTTTTAATTGTTGGAAAGATTATACTACTGAAAAAGCTCGTATTGCTGAACTAAGAAGAAAACGTGTTACGATTGATTTTCGTGAATTTTGGTTTCAAGATGCTTTTTCAGATCCATTCTATTCGTATTTTGAACAACCATCAGATTATATCAAAAAACAAAATAATCATCATCAAATGGCTTATCGTCTTCATAAACGTCTTATACGTACAGGTCGTGAACAACCAAAAGAAACAATGAATCATACAAATCGTTCTACTTTTCTACCTCTTCTATTTAATCTTCCTAAAAATCATCTTGATCGACAAGTATCACTTGCACGACGTCGTCAACAATTAATCAATACTAATAATGAAAATTATCTTATTCCTATAACAAATCCTAGTGAACTTTTACCATTGATACGTGAACGTATTCAATTTCTTAATCAAACTAAAACTCATATCCATAGACATCGTGATGAATTAGCTATCGAACAACTTTTAATCAATAGTACATCAATAAAACAAGCAACAATCAAAGATTTAGATGATTTGATCATTGACTATTATAAAACATTAGAAGAACAAAAAATCAAAAGTTCTTCAGCATCATCTAGTAATATTATCAAATTACCTATGTTAAAACAATCATCTCGGCCAATACTAACTATTACCAAATAGAAAAATGAATTGTACATTTAGATTAACTTTAATCTTTTAATAATATATATTTTGAAACAATATACAACAACATATGATTTATTTATCAATTAATGTTCCTCTAATATTAGCTCGTTTAGTTTCTTGTTCACGTCGTGCAGCCTAAAAGTAAATAATAATACAACTAAGCAAAATAATATAGTAGGAATCGTAACAAACCTCTTCAATAGCTTTTCGTTTATTCATTCCTTTTCTTTCAAGTTGTTTTTCAATAACACGTGCATTTTGTGTATACGAATTAGCAATTTCACGTGCTTCTAATTCTTCTTCTTCTTCATCTAATGTTGATACAGTTACAGATGATGTCTTTCCACGATCTTCACGTTTAATATTTTTAATAACTTTTTTCGGTTCCGAACCTAATACTTGATTATAGATATTCGATGCATCATTTGCTTCTGTAGATAAAGCACCATCGAAAATAAATGTAATTGGACTATTTAATGTATGTGTATAATATAACGAAAGACCACATCTAAAATAAAAAAGTAAAGTTTCAAATTAAATGATATAAAAAATTTACTTTAGACATTTTTTACGATATTGTGTTTCGATACCTTCATCTCTATTAGAGAAATTTATAATAAATAAATCATATTACAAAAAAAAAACAATCTTACTTTCGTCGAATATAAGCTGGGGTATCTTCATCTTTACAAAATTTCTTATGTGCATGTTGTTTAGAATCAATAACACGTGCTCGATCACGTTTTCTTAATGGTAAATATTCTATTGCACAATCTAGAAAATAAGCTTTTGTATATGAAATATGATATAAAACTATCAATTCATACCTAAAATCAATGCCATTTGTCCACATAAACAAAAAAATATATGGGGTGGATTTTCATAAACTTCTTCTTGATCATTATCAAGAATAACACGTTTTTTTTCATTTCCATCATCCATTTATTTAATCTAAAATTCAAAAGTATTAGATATGAAATTTATAAGAAACAGATAACTATATTATGCTTTCAATCAGTTTACATAGTTATAATTTCGGAATCTGAAATTTACATTGAATATGATTGGTAATACCAATCATCCATTCTAATAGCAAGAAATCTGAATTTTTTGCGACCTCTATAAACAATAATATTAAGTTTTATTTCTATTGATGTAATTTAGAAATTATGATGAAAATACAAATTATTACCAATATATAGTTTTAAATGGATTTTATGTTTTATAATAGGTGAGTAACTATGAGTAATATTTATCACGTTTATTATGACTACAGATTTTTAGAAACATAATTCTTCTTTGTAAGAAGAAATTTGAATAATTAATTATTATATATAT